CACACACACACACACACACACACACACACACACACACACACACACTTTTTTTTGTCATTTCAATTACCATAAAACTAAGAGATTTTTCTTTGCATGTGAGGTAATCACTGTGCCTCTGAGCTACATCCCCACTCCTAACTATGATATTATTTTGAACTTCAAGTGAACAGGTGCTTATTCTGTAGTCCATTTGTGTCATCTATGCAGACCTGTGCCCAGGGGAAGTGTTCAGTGGGTGATTCTGGATGTTCTGTTCTTGTGTGACCTGGTTTTCCCAGTTTAGTTCTAAAAGATTCTAAATGAATATGTCCATACTCCCTGTCCATTCATTCCTTTATTGCAAAACACAGATTTACAATGAGCGTTAAATGAGACAACATCAGAGGATTCATATGATGACCGAGATTTTTAAGTAGACATCATTTACTCTAGTTCTCTAGTTTTCAATCCCATTATATGTAATTAATTAGATCCAAATATCTGGAATCAAAACAACTCAAGCACATCTAAAAGGTCAAGTGAGGAATGCCAAGTCTGATAGAAACATCTTCTCATTTCAAGTAACTCCAGAAGCCATCTCAGAGCTCTTCTTCTGAGCAGAGGAAAATATTTTGAGTGGAAACTTTTCTGTATCCAATGAATGCTTAAGGTGATGCCAATGTTCTCTGCTGCATGAGATGAGAGCTTCCTGAGAGCTGCTGAGATGAGAACTGGCAGTGCCCCCATGGAGACACTCCATCTGGGGTAATGTCAGGAGGGCTCAAAGGTTTGCCTGACATAGTACGTAAGGCAAGACAACACAAGCTATGTTATTCATTGTAACTGTTTAAGAAAGATCCTGAGCTAGGGTGTGATTTTCTCAGAATTTTAATAGATAAAGTAACAACTGACATAAATGAGTTAAATATTTTTTCTTTTTTTTATACAGTTTTTAAACATAAGCTTTCAGTTAGAGTGATATTGGACAAAAATAATACATTTTATTAGGCAGAGTGAAGCCAAATTCTTCTCTGTTACAAGATAAAAGTGAAGCTGGGGAAAGTTGCATGAGTTTTTAATCCTGGTGCTCTGGACAGAGGCAAGAGGACAACCATGAGTTTGAGGCCAACTTGGGCTACTTTGTAAGTTACGGGCAAACTAGGCTTGGTGAGACCACATCCCAGAAGAAACAAAAACAAAAGAGACAGGAGTACTTCAAATGAGGTAAATTTAAATGACAGCTAATGGACCACTGTATGAGACTACTGGGAAGAATCTAGTACAAGATAAAGGTAACATGACCTTCAGGAGACCTAGCACATCCTGAGAATTCTAAGACTATGGGCCACATGCCAAATTTTCTGTTAAAACATCTAATAGAGGATGGGCCAAATAGACTACCAATTTGTAGAAACATCTCCCCTCTTGGGAGCATCTAAAACGTCTCACAAGACAGCACTGTCCTGCCAGTGGAGAGAAGTAATCTTCAAATTGGCTTATTGTCCACCTTGTGTTTCTCTGAGTGATAGCAGAGATTCACAAAGCCATTTAGACATGCCAAGATTCTCCTTAGACAACTTCAGTAATATACCCACACCTATTTTTTATTTTTATTAATTTTAGTATGCAGATAATCATTCTGGTTATGATGTTTCCACGTGTGCACAGTGTCACGCTTCGTTCATTCTCTCCCCATTATCGTCCCTGTTTCCCATCGTCCCTCACTGCTCCTCTTCTTTCCAGCATATGACCCTTTCTCTTTCATGTCCCACACATTGTTTTGTTGATACTCTGATGTACAAATTTGTAATTTTATTGAAAAGATATAAATTATGAGTTAAATATGCCATTGTCATAATCTTGGCCAATGTAAAAAGTATAATTTCCTAATTCAGTGGAATTTTTGGAGGCTTGAAAAGGGTAAATAATGTATCATTTTTCCTTCATGTTCTCCATTTCCTCCAAACATGTTTATATCCACAGTACAAACTCCATAAAGTCTCATCTTTGTTCATATAAAGAACCAAGTTATAGGGAGTCTGTTAAAATGACAGCACTATTGTCTTCCCTTTTGGCAATAAGCTAAGCCTCTGCATAATAAATTTTGTATGTGTGTTTAGAGACTAGCGGCTCAGACTTATCACAATTTATTGCTTTTTTTCATGCTGAGATAAAGACTTATTGCTAAACACATTTGCTTTTTGGTGCTTTAGAGCCTGCTTGCTCCTGGGTGCCAATTACACTCTGGCAGGAGCCTGAAGGTCCCATGGAGCAGCTGGTGTCAGCATCGCATAAAATATGCTCCTGAAATGGATCATTCTGCTGCTTAGGGATCATGCAGTAGAGGCTAAGCCGAAAGAAAGGAAGACCAAAGCTATGGCATCCAAAAATAAAATCAAAGGGGATCAAGTTAAGTTATTTATATATACTGTTACTGGACTCAATATTCTAAACACCTCACAGCTGTTCAGAGTTTGAGAAGAAGAAATCAAATATATCACTAACATCTCTTTGGCTGGTGGGTTCTTGGGCCAGGTATATCTATCATCCATCTACCACTGGACGGCCCTGCTGTACTGATTGTGTCTCTGTTCTGCTTAGCAGTTTGAAGTTGTGGTTAGCAGAGCTGGATCTGATTTGGGTCAACTGGGTTAAAATCTCAGCTGTGCAACTTCCTGACTCTGACCTCGGGTAGAAAATTTGACCTCTTTAATCTCTGGTTTTCCATTGACACAATGGGAGAAAAAGTCATCATTGTTATCCTCAAGAATTGCTGTGGGAACCATTGAAATAGTCCACACGAGGCACTAGGTTGAGTTGCCCAGTTATGAAATTCTCAGCAAGCGTTAGCAATTGCTATCACTTCCATGTTCTACGAGGATGTAAAGCTGGACCATGGGCATTAGAACAGAAGCCACTTCCTAAATCTGGGTGTGCCCAAGATGATGGATGCAAGGACTACTCCGTCTTCTTGGAAACAGAAGCCTATTTTCTTTAGCAATGCCCACATTGCTCCATGACCCAGTGCTGAGTTGTTCTCTCACATGGGCATTCTGTCCATATTTCCTAGCACTTCCTCACTGCTGGGCCTGTGATCTGATGATCCACAAAGGAAACCAACCATCCACAATATCTCCAAGGGACTGTCCACTCTGAGAATGCATCAGTCTCAGCAGATAGGACTAAGATGCAGAAGGTGCAACCACCTCACATTCAGCCTGAAACTTAGCTTAAATCTTGGACCTGTTTGATCCTTGAGGATTATTACTATTTTGTACCTACTTTCATTCCAATGACAGGAAAGAAATAGATGGTATGTCTACCATCTACTTAGGAAGAATAAACTAACTTAAAAATTAAGAATGTAATATTTTATCAGATTCAATTTTAATTGTGTTTGGTTGTGGTTCTTGTTTTGCTTTATGTAATAAGTACACTGTCTATGCACACAAGGAAGCTGGGCTAGAATGGCAGTTACAGGGAGAGAATCTTGAGGTAGTCAGGCATTACTGATACAGAAGAAATAAACAGATCTTAAGAATAATGCAGTTTGGAGAACAGATGAGTTTGGAATTACTCATATTGTTTGAAATTCCTACTGTATGCTTAAATGAAGAAGTAGATGGCAAGTAAAGAGAGATTAAGGTGGATTTAGTGAAGCATATCCTGGAGAAAAGGAGTTTCCAGAGCACAGAGTGGGCAGGAGCCATATTGTATTTATCTATGCAGAAGTCAGAGGACAGCGTGCGGGAGTCAATGGTCTCCTTCTGCCATGTGGGTTTTAAACTCAGATCTTTAGGCTTAGCAGTAAGTTCCTTTACCCACTGAGCCATCTTGTTGGCCCGGAAATTTAAGGGCTTAGAAACTGAATGAGTTGTTGAGACTGAGTCTGGATGGTATAAAAGAATAAAAGAGAAAGTCAAAAGATGTTGAAGCTTACTCAGAAGCCTTCAGCATACTCATTCAGAAAGGACTACCCACCAGTCTGTACACTTGCCCTTTGTGTTAGGCCATTAGCCTAAGGAACAACTTGGGCCAATAGCTCCCTATTACTAAAAGATGTATGTAGTGCTGAATATGACTGCTCTAGGAGGCACAGAATATGATAGAGCTGTGTCTACTACTTTTTTCAAGGTTCAGTGACTAAGACCAGGGAACAAATGGGAATAGCTAACAGCAGCTCTCCAGCCATACATTGCAGACAGAAACAAAAGGAATCACTGCTGAGCCCACAGAAGCAGTCTAAAGCAAGAAGTCCTTTATCAGCATCCTCTCCAGGATATACAACACATAAGTACAGACATGTATATGACAAAAGGGTCTGATGGATCAAGCCTGGAACTCCAGTATTTGGGAAACTGAGACAAGAGGATCACAGTGTTTGGGTGAGAGGGGACTACCAGGAAAGCATTGGCTTTGTTCAGGGCCACTCTTTTCTGCAAAATCCAAGGTAAATAAAGCATTGCTGAGAATGAGCACATCCTGAAACATCTATACCAGCCTGCCACTCTGGAAGAACTGTCATTTCTGCTGTGACTGCTCTTAGACACTCCTTCTGCTAGAATCTCTTCCTTATATGCCTTGAAGTTCCCTCCAGTCCTCAGTAGGGAATACAGCTTCTCAAAATGACCAGTTCTCACCCTAGTGATTATAATTTTATTTACTAAAGAAATTTAAATAATGTTCTGATATTTTCATAACAGTAATTATCCTCTATCTATGTTCTACCAATAGGTCTGAAAAAGGTCTTTTCCTGCCTCTGTGTAGAACATAATCACATGAAGCTTGACATACCTAAATACTTGTGTCTTAATGTGTTTTGATACATGGTGTTATGATGGATAAGAATTACTGGGTGGTGAACATGAGAGAGTCAAGATCTTGTCAAAACTATGCACACTGCAGCTGGACATGTAGCTTTATGGTACAACACTTGTTTAACACACACAAGACCCTGGGTTAAATTCCCAGCACTGCCCAAAAAACAAAGGAGGAGAGGAGGACCAGGAAGAGATAGAAGTGGTAGAGGAGTTATTCTTGACTTTCCACTGGTTTATTGAAGGAGGCTTCTAATTGACTGATGGAACTGGGACTTTCAATCAAGGCTGTGTTTTTAATATTAGATTGTCTTTGAATGCCTGAACACTTGCTATGTTCTTTAGGTGATTATAGAGGAGTTATTTTTTAGTAATGATACTACATAATAACTCCTAAAGATAACCCAAAGCCCACAAGCACAATAAATAAGTAAAGGAATAGACTAGCCACCTTTCACCTAGGGCTCCTGGAGGGCACCATGAAACAATGCTTAGAACAGATTCAGGACACATTATGACAAGGAGTGAGGGAAACAGAATGCTCAGGTCAACAATGGGAAGAACAGCACCACCAAGTGGGAATGTGGATACTCATTAGCTGTTCCTGGCAAGCCCTTCTGACCATGACTTTATGGTACCCACTGGGGAGGAGTGTGAAATGTCCAAAAATGTTCCCATCGTAGTCTATGCCCAGAATACGGCTATTTTTAAAAGGAGGAACCCATCCAGTATGGTTCTATATTCCATTAGACACACGCATTCCCGGGATGAAGGAGTGAATATCACACCCAAAGCCAGATGGAGCTGTGCCTCCCCGAGCTCAGAACAAACAACCAATCAATAAAAAAGAGAATATAGCAAGATAAGTGATTCAACCTTGCTACCAAAAAGGCCGTGAAAAGACACATCAGCATTGTCTAACATGGAAAACTGAATGAACTTTCTCCACAGGTGTTTCATATTAACTTGGCAGCAACAGAATGGATGCTTCCTGTCAGAACTCAAGGGTCCCCTGCAAAATGTTGAACTATATCTCAGGGGCAAACGAACAAGCTGGCAGGGCCCTACCATGACTTGCGTCTAGTAAGTCTGTTTAGTTGGTGTCTGAAGGTTGAGTGCCCTTGATTGAAAGTCCAAGGACAGTGACCTGACATTGAGTGGCACCCCAGGGTGGCGGGGGGGGGGTGGGGGTGGGGGTGCAGACAATGTGCATTCTTTCCTGACTACCAACTGGAAGAGTAAGACAGCCTGTTCGGGTGAAAGCCTGGAATAGTTGATACTTCTTTGATTCGCTTTGCCAGTGACTGCAGAGAATGGTGACACATTGTGATTAGGAACGGGGTTCGGAAAATTTCTTATTTTAAACTGAAGGATGGAAATCAGAAAGGGAAAGTTGGCTGGGATATCCACCCCCAGATCCTGAGGCTCTTGTGGGTTGTTTTGTGCCAACAGCATAAACAGAACTTAATTACAAGGCAAACAGTTTCCATGGCTTGTATTACAACATGCACACACATGCAGTCTAGAAAATGCCTTTTTAAACCTTAATTAATTAATTAATTTTATCAATAATCTTAGGTTTATAATTCTGTGCTGACCCCAAGGTAGGCACGAAAGAAGCAACTTGCCTGAATAAGGAATAAAGTCTTAGATTCCACTACCTCTAAAAATTCCTTACAGGTGATTTACAGTGACTTCTATCTCCATTTTTTTTTCTTTTGTCTGCTTCCCAGTTTCCATAGGGAAAAAAAATGCCAGCCAATAAAAGAAGTGAAGGAGATATAAAATTTCACAATACTTTGTCCTTTACCTTTAAAAGTTTCTATTTATTTATGTGTGTGTAAGTGTGTGCACACTTGCCCACCATGCACATGGAGGTCAGAGGACAACTTTTGGGAGTTGGTTTTTTCCTTCTATAATGTAGGTTCCTGGATTTGAACTGAGTCATCAGGCTTGGCTGCCAGTGTCTTTACGTGCTGAACCATCTCAATGCCCTGCTCTGTTTTGTTTTTTCAAAAAAGATCATTGCTGTGGTCATTCTATTAAAATTCACAACTGATGTCTCTTGTGTCAAAAAAGGAATTGTGTACTGCAGAATTCATGCTTATACTGAAAGATAATGTATGCATAGAATAAAATATTATAAATTAAAGTATCTCATTAACACACATACATACACACTCAGAGAGAGAGAGAGATGAAGAAAAGTTGTCAGAGATTAAAAACTGATTCTGATCTGTATGTGTTTTCTTTTGTTTCAGGTTTGGTTTGGTTTGATTTGGTTTAGTTTCTTGACATTGTCTTACATATTGATATATCTATATTATATATTTATATATATAGAAAATATATGAGATATAAACATTATATAATATATATTAATAGCTCTTATCAACACTATACCAAAAAATTATCCTTTGTATAAGTTTGGATTATATAAGTCAACCCTTAATTTAAATTACACTTGAAACCTACAAACATTAATGATGTATGAATTTTTTTCTAAGAAAAAAATAGTGTTAAATAGTCTAGACCATCAAAGAATCTTATAGGGTCACCATTAATTGTTATCTGTAAGGAACTTTTAGTATTATAGGCCTCCAATGGCTTCATGCTCAAATTATCTAGCACATTTTCCTCTTTTTTATAGAACACTGGTTTTATGTGGGAAGTTGTTTTTCCTCTCTGAAGAGACACAACTTGATCTACTGCTTTCTCCTGGGACTTTTTTAAAGGTAAATTTCCTCTTAAATCATCATACAGATAAGAATGCAAGGGACAAAAACCTGAAATTGCGTTGCTCAAAATGTTGAATTCTAAGTAGGCGGACTCAAAGGCAGAGTAAATAGTGTTCTTTCCTTTCAGTGAGGGATAGTTTTCATGATGCTGTTCCACTTAAGAACATAGCTTCTCCCTGTGTGTTTATCCAACATCTGTCCTCAGGCAATGCCTTGGATACTACTGCCAGATGAGAGTCATTGTTATCACTGGACAGTGTACACATGATTTCTGTCCATTGATTCAATCATGAATTCAGCTTTGCAGCTTTATCATGTAACTTTTCTTTTTCTCCCTTCTCCCCATGAGAGAACCATTATTGTAATGAGGGTGATATCTGTCCTTCTGATGGGGTTAATGCTTGCAAAACATACTGTACATGAGTTTTCAATTCATGAAAACAGAATCGCTATATGCATATAGAGTATATTTTATGAATTTCACATTATTTTTACCAAGAACCTTTTTAATATATCTCTGGCTCTTTCATAATAGTTATAGCAAGTGTTTATGGCCTTCTGTCTCTTGGGATAAAATCCCAAAGTACTCTCAATTCCTGCCTTCTTCATAATATTGAAATCAATATCTTCATGAACTTAAGTTTGTTGAACTATGTCCTGGGATGTAGGAAATGAATGCATTTTCACTTGACAAGGCATGAAAATAATAAAACAAATGAGTGTTTACTCTATGCTACACTGTTCCAAGTACTGTAAACAGCAACAAATAAAATTAAATCTTTGTCCTCATGAAGTTCACAGTCTTGGCAACAAATTACATAAAGAAACATGTAAGTGGAGACTGTGAGTTGAAAGTAGGATATAAAATCCAACATTCATAATAAAAGTATGGACAAAAGTCATCACTGAGACAGAGCCTAGAAACATAAAGTGCCACTGGTCACCATGTATGTGAGAGGTGTGGTCTAAGAACTGATTTCGGGGGCCCTTTAGTATTTATAGGTTAAATATCTTCAAAAGAACCAACAAAAGAACCCAAAAATAAACTACAGGTGAGAAATGACAGAAACCCAAACAAACTGACACCCAAGGGGAACTGCTTATTGATCAAATGAGATAAGACAGAGACTAATTTTGAATTAAAAAATATGGAGATCATTGTGATTCTGGAACAAAATGTTAATTTGACAGAACTGTACACAAACAAAGAGAGAGTTAAGGAAAAGTCCAGGAAATGGTCTTCTTTTCAACACCATTTGCTATGAAGTGGAAATGACATTTGGGACCATGGCTGAAGAGTGAGCTCTGGGGCAAAGACAATTCTGTATGAGATGTAAGACATTTCAGCACACCCTTGGGTTGCTGGGAATGGGCCAAACCAGTAGACAGACTGAAACTATGTTTCAAAAGAGAAGAATTTCTGAAGCATTATCCTTGAGCAGGTGAGAGGGGGAAAGATATAAAATGTAAAAAGACACCCATGGTACAAGAACAGACAACCCATCCATAGTGACAGGATGGAGTGGTTCATTTTGGGGCACAAACGTAGGTGGTGGAGAGAAATGGGCAAAGTTGGCAGATGTGGCAATGGAAGAGTGCGGAGCTTTTCTTCTCCTTTTGTTTTATTTTCTCTGTCCGTCAGCCTCTATTCAGCCTTCTCTACCAGACTCTTTCCTCTTTCCACCATCTTCAACCAGCTTTTTATGCTTCCCACACTGTATATTTTCATGACTCTATGCCTTCCAGTTTTCCCTTCCTTGCCTAATCTTGTCAGCTGGCAAACTTGCAGTTACTTTTATTATAAATTAATGAAAAATTGCCGGGCGGTGGTGGCGCACGCCTTTAATCCCAGTACTCGGGAGGCAGAGCCAGGCGGATCTCTGTGAGTTCGAGGCCAGCCTGGGCTACCAAGTGAGCTCCAGGAAAGGTGCAAAGCTCGCAGAGAAACCCTGTCTCGAAAAAAAAAAAATTAATTAAAAATTAAAAATAATTAAATTTCTCTGACTCATCCAATAGCCTTGTCACATTACAAAAAGAATTATCTTAATGTATTACAAGACTGTCCATTAGGCTGTGTCCAAAAGGCTATACTGTCTTCTACACATTCCAAATATTCCAATACCCACAAGAAGCTGTTTTGTGTTTATGGGAAATAACCTTACACCAAAGAGCATGCTCACCTGAAGATTACATTCTAGTACCTTTCCTATACTTTAATACAATGCTCTTAAACTTTGATAATATGTCAATTTGAGAACTGACCTTTAAAACTGGCTTCACTCATAATCTTGGTATCACCGCCATCTCCATGACCAGGCTATAGCATAACATCATAGTCATGTGTTTCCCGTTTAGTTATACAACATAGTGAAAAAAATGAACTCTGTAACTTTGTGTTCAATAGAATTTTGACTTTTGGAAATGTGGGTTTAGAGCCTAAAATCCTAATCCTAAAGTCCCATATTATGAGAATATCTCAGGTTACCTCATTTATAAATCTGCCTTTAAATCCACAGTGGAAACTATGAGACAGTATGCATTTCTTTGAACTAGACTAAAGGGACACTAGCCACTCCAGGCTGGTTTTTCTGTTTTGTTGTTTGTTTGTTTGTTTGTTTGTTTGTTTGTATCTGCAGTAATTCGAATACACGGAACAAGTTGCTCATATTTAAATTTGCTATCTTTGCAGCACTACTTACACACTGGCAGCCATCAACATTCAACACATAGTTGTGAAATCTGAAGGAAAACATGCATATGATTATTTCCCATCCCTTATGAATAATCTTTTCTTTCTTTAACAGACACAAAATAACCAAGAAGAAAAATCTTACACCCTGCTCAAAATTACTGAAATCACTAACCCTGCCTCATTTTTGGAAGGACATCCAAGATATGAGTTTGTTTTCTAGTACCTGGCATGGTTTTAACCTTCTTCAAGTTGGTTTATGTCACCCAAACTGTTGGCTTCACAAATGGCCCCAATTTATCCTCTGGGGTGGTGAGCACTGAGAGCTGGTAAGTGTGAAGCAGGATGAGGCTTGTCATAGTACCTTTTCAGTATCAAATGGCATTTTCAAGAATTATTCTAAACAAATCCCTTGTTCTTTTCATCACTTTAGTGGTTTCATTGTAAGCAAATTTAACATATTAGGTTATTGACTTCTTTATTATTATGTTACTCATTTATTCATCTATCTACCTATTGATTTAGTGTGTGTAGTGTGTGTGTGTGTGTGTGTGTGTGTGTGTGTGTGTGTGTGTGTGTGTGTAACGACTTGCAGGAGCTGGTTTTTTCCTTCTATGTGTGCATCCCAGGGATCAGTCTTAAGCCATCAGGCTTTGCCACAAGCGCCTTTACCCACTGAGCCATGTTGCTGGCTCCTTGACTCATTTCTTTAAAAAAGAAAGAGAGAGAGAGAGAGAGAGAGAGAGGAAGGAAGGAAGGAAGGAAGGAAGGAAGGAAGGAAGAACAAATCAGCATTAGACATTCTCAGATATTTTGATCATGAAAAGAACCACTGACTTGTCAACTTTCCTTTATCAGGAATAATTTTAGTAAAGGGAAGATCCACAGTGATGCTTCACCTAGAAGAGTGGAGATCAGAACTCCACCTGATGCACTTCTTTCTCACCCACTGAAATCATCATCAGTCTTGCTCAATTTTAAGTCCTTGTGAGTTTTCCATCTTCATGCATCAGGTCAAAGAGTGGAGGAGCCCAACAGTGAGTGACTACATGGAGAAGAAAGAGGGTGAAAGCCTTCCTCTCTACCCCAACTTCCCATTTGGGGTACATCATGCCCCAAATGTACACATGACCAGGTAGTCAATGTGACACCAGGGACACCTTGACTTTGCCTCCTTATAGCAGCTTATTTGGAAAGAGGAAAACAAACCTCAGCCTCCATATTGCTAAGCAGAATAGGTAACATTTGGTTAAACAATAGCTTTTGTACTTCCAAACCTATTGACTGGCAGTTAGTTTATACAGTTTAAAACCAAAGAACATAAAAAACAAATAGTTTATCAAAATGATAAACTAGCTGTATAGTTTTGACTGAATTGTTTATACAGCCAAAGTGATTTTTCAAAGGCTCTCACATACTCCTTTTATTAAAACAATATAGGATATATTTAGCCAATGTTAGATTGACTCAGGAACCATAATTCATTGCCAAAGGGTGTGTATGAGGTTGTTGCTTTGTTCCAAAACTGTTATTCTGAACAACTTATACATAGAACAATTATGATATGTGATCCACATCTTAAACACTTGAAGTTGTTTCTCCAAGTCACTAATCCTCAAATCTTTCTTCACTTGAGCTATTTAAAAATATTTTATAAAAATATAAAATATAAGAGAAATGCCCTGGATGAATTGTGGGAGCACACAGCCTTAAAAGCAGCATTTTCCCACAAAGGGAATGACTGTTACCCTGATGCCTAACACCATGGACCAATTATGCCTGGCTTTGTAATTTAGAAACATTTTTATATGTAAATAAAATAAAATATCATCATTTGCTATAGTTGAAATTGAACCAAGTTTTACCTGAATAGGACTACATTGGACATAGTACAATTTTCTTGGTTTTGAGCTAGGTCTCACTATGTAGCCCAGGATAGCCAACTCGCTCACTATGCTTCTGCCTCAGTTATTACAATGCTATTATTACAGGCCTGAACTACCACCTAGCTCGCTTTTGTTTTAAAGACTAAAACAAAGGGAAAGTAAATAAATTAGTGTCTTTGCTTACTCAGGCAATGTTGAATCCCACTAAAAGTATGCATCCTTTACAAAAGTTCCCTCATATAATTTTCTTCACTAATAGAAACACAAGTAGCTGAGCCACACATGAGAGTACACAGCTGCAAAACGTATGTTTAATTAAAGAAATAAAACCATGAGTTCACATTGTATGTCATCAAATAAAACTGAAGTTCACCACAGCTTATTTATGTTTGTTATAAAACATTTCTCATATGACTTCACTGATTTAAAATACCATTTTTTTTGGTCTGGCCTGAAGGCCCTATTCCCATTATGTTGTGGGTGTCATACTGGGAGAAACAAGAATAGAATTCACAAAATCTACATTTGGTACTATGTGCTTCTCCATCCAGTATACTGGTTGCAAATTAGATGTGGCAAGACACTACAATTAACTCATTTCATGACACCCCATAATAGTTGATAAACAGCATTATTTCCTGACATTAACCATAGAACGGCTTAAAAGCAGGAAGCAGGGTGTATAAAGTGGAACAATTACTACTGAATACTAATTCATTGTTGTTCATGCAAATAATACTGTATTGTTTGGAAGAGCTACCTGCAACAATTTTACTTAAAGCTAAAATAAAGTCTGTGAAATGAAGTTTTACATTCTAAACTCAGCCCAGTTTAGAATTCTCATTAAAGTCCACTGGGAATGAAAATATGCATTTTTTTTCTTTCTTCAGTTTACTAAATTAGAAAAGTTTGAACTCTAGGCAATTTCAGAATTGGAAAAGCCTAATGCTAACATTTCTAGAACCTGTCATCAACAATTGAGAAGAAAAATAAAACCAGAAACTTCATTGATTGAACAATAGCTATGTATATTTCTATAAAACCATTCTAAACAATCTCACATGATTGGAAGATGTCCTATATAAATAAATACTTTCTGAAAAAATTAAACATATTCCATTGCAATAGCTGGCAGTACAGTTTGTCATGTAGTGGTTTTAAATTAAATTCAAAGTTATTCCTCACTGTCCTAGGGTCTCCATTGTTTAAAATTAGTAACCACTTCAAGAGAAAGTAAATACTGGCCAGGATGTTCACCCTAACTCTCATTCTTTGGCTGGCATTCAAATATTTTCCAGTTTTACTGCTTACATTGCCAAAAACAGATCTGATTATCATGGTTTGCAGAGGTATTTCTCCATGTCAATGATCTAGCATCCTGTATATCTGCCTTAAATTAATGGCAATTTTACTTCATTGAACAATGTTATGAACTACGTGTAATTTTACTTCTCATTGACTAAATTATGAGACTGATATGTGCTATAAAGAGGCAGATAACTTTTTTTCTTGAAAAAAATACAATATGGCCAATTTCATTTATTACTTACAAAAATAGTTCAATAGTCCATCATAATGTCCTATCTGGGATAAATTAATGAACTTGCTCATTTATTCTGTTTCCAGGGAATCTACAATGCACTCTTTTGCTTTAGGGGATAGAATTAAGTACAAAATAAATTAGATATAGCCATTATCTGCTAGGAATTCAAGCCTGCCTTTAGTGGAGGATGTAGCTTCCATCACCCATGTCTTTATGGTACTAGAGCATTTTTCAACTTTTTGGTACTTTATTTCAGAAATAATTCAAACAATTGGGTGATACAGATTTTCTTGGCACTTTTAACAAAACATATATACCAAGAAAAAAATCTGTAAGCATTTTCCTTCTCCAATCCATCCAGTCCTGGTTAATTGAAACAAAGAAAGATAGAAAAAGCAAATGAAAAGTTGTGATAACCAAGTTTTTGATGTATGTTTTATATCTGTTACAGACAAATCTCAGCAAAGGTGTCTTTCAAAGGAAGTAAGACGACAAAGGAAAACGGAAAGGGATTGTAAATGTTCAAAATAGCAACATGAAGAGAGGCTAAGAAATGTCAAAATCATAGACTGTAGAGAGCCATTTCACTTATAAAGTGCATGTAATCATAAGCAAGATCCTTTTATTGGAATAGATGTTATTGCTGTGTTCTAAAATGATTGGATTAAATGCAGTGACCCAGGGAAAACAACTAGACAGAAGGCAACTGATGATTATTTGGGGTGAAAGAGAAGAGTAATGAACTGGATGGAACAGAGGGGGGAGAGATGAATGCTAGAGAGGAAAATTAACTGTAGAAAGTACAGAACCATTACTGGTTGATTGAGCATCTCACTGTCATATTTGAATAATATGCCAATTCCCAGAGTAAAGACACAATAGTCACAAGAGAAAGTCCCCAACAACAAGACAAAGTGACAGTTGCACATTTGGATTACATATATTTTCTTAGTTAATTTTATTTTCTGTTAAATAAATAAAATCATTTGAGGAATAAGCAATTGGTTCATACTGAAACATGCCAATCATAGTCTGTACCAAAGGAACTTTCTCACCAAAATATTGCTCATATTTTTCAAAAATAGAATATCAAACCAAACATAGACAATGCAATGCAAAGCCCTGTTAGTTCTTTCATCATAGTTCATCTGGCCTTAGATTTGATGTAAGACTAGGAAGTCAACATTTTGAGATGCAGCAATCCTTTTCATACATATCCCAATATAAGATGTAAAGCATTCCAAAGGGCTTGCACAACTGGCTCTCAGCCAAGTGTCACAGGGCTTCCATCACTGGAGGCAATAATCCTAAAGTGCACATCCTGCAACAACTAATTACTGTTAGACATCTTATGGCTGCAAAGCCAAAAAAAGTCAATGCAAAATTTAACATGAATTTATTTACTAGGATTAATGGAACAGTTCTGACCTTGCAGGCCACCAATCAAGATGAACCAAATATGCCCAGCATCTTCCAAAAGCCACATGATTTACATAACAATGGCATAAACACCATAAACTGCTGTGGAATGGGGAAACGTGTTGACATGTGTCACAGACTCCTCTAACCACAGTGGATGTCCTCAAGTATGAAGATGCATACTACTTCATATAACCAAAAATCTGAGTTGCAGTTATTTGATGCTTAGAAACATAAAATTCAAATATAACATAAAAACTAAATATAAATTGCTCCTACAGAAAAAAAAAACAAATATATAATTATTGCCAAGTGTCAGTCTTTTCTTCCTTTATTTAAAGTTTAAGTGTTTTCTTTAAATGTGCTCAGTGTGCAAAGATTTAAAGGACACCTATTGTCCCATTTGACTCTAGTAAATCTGGTAGTAGGTGGCAAGATAAATAGTATTTCATTTCATACTTATATTCAGCATTATAGCTGACTAGAAATGGTAAACAGCAACTCTTTTCTCTATGCAGACAGAATGATGCATCTTTAGATAAATATGTCAAATGTGCACAGATATATACAAACATATGATGATATTTATTGTATGTCTATGTGTATAACCTGAATACACAAATGTTCTTGACCATGAAAAATAGTGATCTTCCCCATAGAATACATGTAGTCAACAACAATGCACATTTAAGGTTTTATTGAGGCTCTGTGTTTTATGTTCTGTTCATCTAACCCCAGCACTTGGGAAGCAGAGGCAGGAAGATTTCCATGAGTATGAGGCCAGCCCAGTTGGCAGAGCAAGTTCCAGACAGCCATGGCTACATGGAGAGATGTTGTCTCCAAAAATCCAATGCTGTGTTTTATGTTTAGTGCTTTTACTATAATAAAAAAAAAATGGGAAGGCTTATTTAAAAATCAATCTAGTCTTTTTTTTTTTTTTACTCAGACAAAATTTCATCATCATCATCAGTCAGAGTAAGATGGCAAATCAAGCATTGTCTTTCTGTGTTATAGTGGAGAAGAGTCAGGATAACAAAGAGTGTCTCTATTCCAGAGGGAGAAGAAGCACTGGCCAGGGTAAGGACAAATGAAAATGTTAAGAAACAGAAGTACAACCCAGCAAAATGTGCCCTTAGCATGTGGCTACTGCTGTACAGCTTCCCAGTAGGAGAAAGCAAAGGCAAAGCCTCATCCAGAGGTAACCCAGGTGACCTTGGTAAAATAGGCCCACAGGATGAGCCCACAGTTCTCACAAGCTCCAGTCCATCTGGAGAATGTGGTATGACATTGATGCCTTGGACCACATCAGCAGTGGACAGGAAGCCCAACTTGTCATGATCCATGTCTCAGAGGACTGTACCTGGTCACTGTCTTGAGAGAGTA